GCAATTTCAACAGAAGAATTTTAAACAAATTCAAACACTGCTGAGTAACCACCAGTGGAGAAAATATTGGAATAATAGAAAATCTAGATAATTTGTCCTCCTACACTGGCATCAATTTTTTTTTTTGGCAGAATTATCTGCAGAAGATAGAAGTTTCACACCTTCCCACGTGCCTTAGACAAATAATTTAGGTGCCTGTACTGGGAAGATTTTCCATTGCCATCCTAAAAGTCTCCGTGTTGCCCTGTCTGAAATGGGTAGTGGAAATATTTTGCTTCCTCTTTGCCGTGCCATTTTTTCACATAGGAAATCTGTTCTATCTTCCCTCAGTCATGCTGCCCCAGGAAATGTACATTCAAATACAAATATAAAGAAAAGCTCCAGGGGCAAAGCTTGCCTATTTAATAGGGTAATGCTGAGGTCAGTGAAGATAAGCAGGGAAAGAAGAAAGTGATGGTAAAATCCCTCCAGGATTCTGGGAAGAGAAGCACTGGGTTTGAGAAAAGGATATAACAGAATATAATACAAGTTTGGAGTTGTTAAGTTTTTTTACTTTCATTTGTTTGTGGTTTGTTTTGTTTTGTTTTTGTTGTTTCATTTTGTAAAAACTGAAAGAGTAAAGGAAGCTGATAAAGTTTATATTGTGATGTTCCTGGAGCTTGGGTGAATGTGAAGGCAGAGAGTGCTGGGTTCTTAGGGGGTGGTTAGGCCACTGTGGTTAGAAATGTGTGTTTCTACATCCATTTTGTGTTGGTTTTGCTTTTTAGAGGAGCTTGATTGATAACTTTTGCTGCAAGGAGAGAGAGAGACAAGAGGCCTGATCCTCTTTTCATTAAATTAGATCTTGTACAAATGCATGCCCTATTACTTAGTTGCATTTGCAATTGCTTAATTTGGCACCATCCTCAGCTGAGAATTTTTTCATTGGTACTGATGATTCAGATTTGAGGAAATGGGCTCCTCAGCATCCTGTCAGGGAGAGAGGCAGAGGAGGATAGCTGGCTGCAGGGGAAGGAGCAGCCATGCTTTAGGGACAGCAGTGGCATGGGTTCACATGGGGTTTCAGAGGAGAGTGGGCAGGGAGATGTGCAGAAAGCAGAGGGGCAGAGATACAGCTGCACTTGGACCAGGACACTTGATTTGTTAGAAAGACTCAACAGGATGTCTCCAAACCAGCGTCTGTGTGAGCTTGGAAAGACTCAACAGGATGTCTCCAAACCAGGAGAGTCAGTGTCTGTGTGAGCTTTCACCTGCCTGGAGAGGGCACAGAGGGGCTGCTGTAGATCAGAACTGAGCCCACTCTTCTCTTGGGAGTGCAGGTTTCCAGCCTTTGCAGCACTTCTGGGCTGAGACACTGAGCAGCCTCTGCTTTAGAAAATTGGTTGCTCATTTAGTGCTGTTTCCTCTTCACCTGCAGCAACATGAACGATTAGATGTAAGACTTCCCCAACACCATGTGTTTTGTGGAACACTTAACACAATCACCTCAGAAATGTTGAAGGAGCACTTTTCATCAATTAAATTTATTTCATAATTTTCAGACCTAGTTCCATCATAATATTTGAAAGATAGTATGCAAGCAGTTATGAAATGTTTGAAGAAAATCTCTTTTAGAAAATTAGTTTTGGTTCTTTGGAAACTGGGTAGTAGGAACCATGGTAAAAAAGAGTAATTAAAAAAGTGACATTCGAAATGGCTAAGGTATTTTCTTCAAAATGGCAAATAGGCACTGGTGACTCTGCTTTGCTAATGAGATACATGTCAGTCATGGGGAGGTCTGCACATATCTATTTTTGAACAGCACAGCACACAAAGAAAGGTCTTCCCTGAGCTTTGAACTGACAGCTCCATGAAATGCAAAGTCTGGTCCTGGATGTGACTGTAGGTAACTTAGAGCATAGACTGTAGGTAACTTAGAGCATAGACCTCTGCAGTAGTTCCTGAGGTGTGAATTTCATTGTGTGACCCAGTAAGCCACCTGTACGTATAGATGTGCATTAGCTGTACTGCAAAGCAGCTGGCTAGTGGCTGTTGTTGAGCAAGAAGCATATTTCAGCAAAGTGCAAGGAAAGCTTCTAAATGATGTCATGTGTGCATGACAAAAATACATCTTCCCAGGCCTTGTAGCTTTGCCAGGGCTTAGGATCTATATAGGTTATTTAAAGCTTCCAGAAATGTGCCCTTAGTTTCAACAGAAGAAGGGGGAAGAAAAAGGTATATAATTGGTGCTCAGTACACCAGGGCATACATTAAATTTACACATGGCTTTAAAATTAGTTTGCATCTACCAGGGGTAAGATTCAGCTCTGGACTGGCACCTGCACTTCGGTGTCTGTGTGTAGTGTGCTGTGAGCCAAGGGGAGTCTGACCTAATGTCAGGGGAGCCTGGGGAATAATTCATTTTATCCAGTGCAGAAACCTCCTGGCTGGAAGTGCAGCAGCCACAAAGCATCTATACGCTTGTGTCATTTTCTAAATCAAATAATGTACAGTGAGGAAATAATATATAAACAATTGTGTGGTGTCAACATTAAACATTGTCATGAAGTAGAAGTAGATGATAAATAAAAGTTCTAACTTTCCTGAAAATTTTCATACTGCTAGGAAGATGGCCACTTTATTTATTGCATACTATCATCTTATCTGTTTGTTAGATACATTGACTCACCCTTCTATGTTTTCATTACATGTTAAACCTTTTTTGGAAAGCAGTAAAAATGAGGATGATTTTGTGCATCAGAATGAAATTTGTAATAATCAATTTATTTATAAAAACAATTACTGATACATTATATGACTATACATCAAGCTCCTGACACTGTTTTTTTTTCCTCAGTTACAGCATTTAAATTAATTTTAAAACATTGCAATACAATTCTCAAAGAACACAAAGTTCTTGTCCAAAAAAATATGAATCAAATCCATGTATACATATTTTACTGACAAATTTAAACATTGATATTTTCTCTTTATGTTTTCTCCTTAAATATATTTTATCAGTAAAGAAGCCGAAATATGCAATTTTTCAGAGATCAATAATTGATGTGATTTATGGTTCTTAATTAATCCTTTATTGCTTTCAGGGGGATGAATTGAATGAATAATGAAGTCAAATTAATTTTCGTTAATTAAATTAATTATTTTTTATATTTACTTGTCTTTATTTTAAAAAAAATCTTAATCTTTTTTTTCACCTGGAGAAGGTTTTTTAAAAGATTAGCTAGGAGAGGAGAGGAAAGGGCAAGTTATCCTAATTTTGCTTTATCAATGGCTTTTTGGCATAAAACAAAAAATGAATGGAGGGCCAAGGGGAATCATCCTTTATTAGATGTGGCAAGAAGCACAGAGACAAGGGATAAGGAAAAGTCTGAAGTACTTAATGCCATTTTTGCCTCAGTCTTTAATAGCAAGACCAGTTGTTCTGTGGGTGCCAGTCCCCTAACCTGTAGCACAAGGATAGGGAGTAGAATGAAAGCCCCAAGGGGAAGTGTTCAACACCTGCTGCACAAGTTAGACACTCATGAGTCCATGGAAATCCACCCAGGGGTACTGAGCGAGCTGGTGAAGAGCTCACCGAGCCCCTTCCATCATCTCTTGGCAGCCCTGGCTAACTGGGCAGGTCCCAGCTGACTGGAAGTCAGGAAATGTGATTCCTATCTACAAGAGGGGCTGGAAGGAGGATCCAGGAAAGTTCAGCTTGACTGACTTCTATGACAAAATGACCCACTTAGATCTTGTCTGCCCAGAATTAGTAAAGCCTTTGACTTAATTTCCCAGAGCATTCTCCTGGAGAGCCTGGTTGCTGATGGTTTGGACAGGGACACTGTTGCTGGGTGGAAAACTGGCTGGATGGCCAGGCCCAGAGGATGGTGATGAATGGTGCTCCATTCAGCTGGTGGCTGGTCACTGGTGGTGCTTCCCAGGACTCAGTACTGGGGCTAGTCCTCTTTAATATCTTCATCAATGATCTGGATGAGGGGACTGAGTGCACCCTCAGTAGGTTTTCTGGTGACACCAGGCTGGGTGGAGGTGGTTTGGACATGCTGCTGGAGGGCAGGAAGGCTCTGTAGAGGGGTTTGGACAGGCTGGATTGATGGTCCAAGGTAATTTGTGTGAGGTTCAATGAGGCCAAGTGTCAGGTTCTGTCCTTCAGTCACAACAGCCCCAGGCAGAGCTACAGGCTGGGGGCAGAGTGGAAAAGGACCTGGGGGTGCTGGGCTTTAGCTGCTGATCATGACCAGTGTGTGCCCTGGTGGTCAGGAAGGCCAGTGGCATCCTGGCCTGTATCAGCAATAGAGTGGCCAGCAGGAGCAGGGCAGGGATTGTCCCCTGTACTCAGCACTGCTGAGGCCACACCTCCAGTGCTGGGTCCAGTTCTGGGCCCCTCACTGTGAGAGAGACATTGAGGGGCTGGATGAGTCCAGGGAAGGGCAATGGAGCTGGTGAAGGGTCTGGAGCACAAGTCCTGTGAGGAGCAGCTGAGGGAGCTGGGGGTGTTTAGCCTGGAGAGGAGGAGGCTCAGAAGAGACCTCATTGCCATCTACTACAGCCTGAAAGGAGATTGTAAAAAGGTGGGGTTTGGTCTCTTCTGTCATGCAACAGGTGACAGGGCAAGAGGAAATGCTCTGAATTTGTGCCGAGGTAGGTTTATACTCGATATTAAGAAAAAAGTCTTTATAGAAAGGGTGTTCAAGCACTGGAAGACATCGTCCAGGGAAGTGGCTGAGTCACCATCCTGGAGGTATTTAAAAGACATGTAGTTGTGGCACTTAGGGACATGGTTTAGTGGTGGACATGGCAGTGCTGAGTTAGTAGTTGGACTTGATGATGTTAAAGGTCTTTTCCAGTCTGAACAATTCTATGATTCTCTATGGTGTTACACCTCTCACATATTTTTTTCTCATCACCTGTTTCCCCTGTCCCTTTAAAATATTCCTATTAAACACTTCCCTACTCTTGATCTGATTCTTTTCTCTGAAATCTTTCACATCTTGCTGAAGATACCCCGGATAATCCTCACACGCCCTTCCACTTCTGATGAAGATGCCGACCAGTTGCCCCCAGACCCTGAGGACTTCGAGCCCGAGGAGCCTGACAGCGCAGAAGGCCATGCCTATTCAGACTGTCTGAGCAGTGCTTTTTATCCTCCCTAATAAAGTACTTTTCTGGCAGGAGTTGATGGGTAGTTTTATTTCCCATTGTTTGATTACATTTAATGTAGTACTTGAACCGCTATGCCTTATTTATAGCGAAAACCATTACGTGGGGGATGGATTTGTGAGGAGAACCCTGTTTGTACTTCTTTGCCTTGAACTTCCTTCAGCAAGAACTTATGAAGTTTGAATGAAATGCACTTGGTCAAATTCTGTGAATGTCACCACATGTTTCAGTAGCCACTTGTAAAGGTACCCTGCAGCACCTAAAGGTAATGGAGAAAAAACCAGGTGATTTTTATTCAGAAGGTACTTTACCCATTTGGAAACACACTGAAAGCAATTGATAGTTGGGTGGGATTTTTAAAATCTTGTATCCATGATTTGTCTATACAGCTCATCCTTCTATTTCCCCCCCAGGTTCCTTTGATTTGTCCGTTTAAATGTCATTTTCTATGAGAATTTTTTTAAAAAAATCTGTCTTTAAATAGTCCTGTTTTTTGTGCTGTTTTTTTTTTTTTGGTTTTTTTTTTTTTTTGTTTTTTTTTACCCACTGAGAAATGTTATCTGTGTTGGAATTCTGTATCTCATTCTATTGTAATAAAGAACAGTGTCTCCAGTTATACCAGTAATGTGAATGTATATCAGATTTGAACAGGACCTGTAGGTTGTATTTGATTAGATCCAAATGCAGGAGGCACCTTATGCAACTGTGTACCTGAGAGTGAAGAGAGAAGCAATTTCTTATGCATGAAGAACTGTCTGAAACTTGTTTGTTTCCCCTGACTTGCATATAAGCAGAATGCTTTTAATTTGCCTTACTGCAGTATGCCTGTATTTCATGTATATGTGTGTGTGTGTGTGAGGTAAGCATTTAAGAGCAAATTGTCCTGTACAACACTTTTCAATCCTTTAATTCTCTTCATTGCTATTCAGTGCATTGGTTTCTAATGCATTTTAAGCTGTTTAAGAAGACCTGTTTGGGACTGTTCTTTTTCTGGGGTTCCACGGTGCTGCCTTAACTCAGAGGTGGGGTCTGGCCCTGCTAGATTTGAATGCCATGACTATCTTTTTATGTACATTAAATGTGCATTGATGGTTTTTATGATGTTTATACAGTTTATTTTCCTGTAAATGTAATATAACACAACCCAGTGACCTGGTAAATGCTCATATTTTATTCATATTCTTGAGAAAGATTTCTCAGGTGATCATTCATAACTTCAATGAATGCTGATAGCTGACTTTTACAGAATTAGAAAATTCCCAGGAGGGTATGGCTGTCACAAAGAGAACAATATCTCCTACTAACAAAAGGGATATTTTATTTTGAAAAGATGGATTTGTGCTAACAGTATGATACCAAGTCAATGGCATTCACTTTGATTTTTTATTATCTTGTACATCTGCATTTTAATTTATGATAGTAATAGGAATATTAAGCTAACTTCATTCATTTGCAAAATGAACATTATCTTAGAATCTCCTATGACTGTAATGTTAAAGACTGTATAATGTGCGTAAGCATAGGCTTAAATTATATTGATAAATGAAATTTTATTTAAAATATTTGTTTCCCATCTCTTTTCTTCCTCCAAAATATACAGGGTTTTTCCACTATGACTTAATGTTTGATCAATGCATGTTGCAAAAACATCAATCTCAGAACCCACAAGTGTTTTGGCCCTCTAGCTAGTAATGAACCATTTACTACTACTTTATTGTGTCTTACAAGACTGCAAAAAAACCCACAAACCCTCAGCTGTTATAAATCAGCCTTAGATTGCAGAATAAGTTGTAGTTGAAAGCTAGTAAAGAGTTCTGTTGAGAACTTGGTATTTTCTTCCTTCTTACTTCCCATGCACAAGTGTTTGTTTTAGATTTTCCATTAGATCTTGGAAATCAAAACATTTGCTATCAAAATGACAAACTTTTAATCCAATGCTGTCACCATCCAGGTACGTTTTAAAGAGTGAGATTTTTATCTGTCCTTCTTCACTGATTTTCAAGGCAAATTTCATATTGCAGTGTTGAAAATTTTGCTGTGAGTATAAACTTACGGTGGTAACACTCTCTGTGGACATGCAGCTCTACAAAATATATCAATCAAAGCCTATGCTTATTCAAGCTTTCATTAAGAAAAAAACCAAAACAGTGGCAGTTGATTATGTTTTGCTTTTGCTCTGTGAAAGAGGAGCAGAGGCAAAGGTCAGATGCTGGTGTCCTTATCAGCACTGAGTAAAGTCTCTTGAGGTTTGCTGTTTGATAAGAATGGGCAGAGACAGAAGGTGGAGAGGCTCAATAGGAGTTGCTCTGTTAATGACAGCTCATATCCTGTGTCCTCATTTCCTGCTGACCTGGGAGGTGGCTAGGGAAAGCTACTGCCTGGCTATGGACTACTGTTTTCTGTGGGGAACAGGCTTCTCCTCATTCTCAGCTGCCACATCATTTAAAACATAGCTATGAAGGTATATAATTGTTTATTAGTGTATTTCTTTAGCCCCATCTCATTATTCTTGCATCCACTGTTGTGGAGGAAGGCATGGCAAACAGTACCAATCAATATGGGAGGGAAGATTTTCTTCTGTGTGCAACTAATCTATTGATGTATATTTTACAGCCCAGGATAATTTGATTTGCTGGGATGTAGCAGTAATATTCAGGGACGTCATGTCTATAGCTGGAACAATGGATATCTGACAGAAAAAAAGTCTGTTGTTCCATTCCTATCTGTACTCGTGGAGGACAGTAGATGTAGGACCTTGCCAGCACAAGGACAGTCCACTTTAAAACAATTAACTTCAAAAACCTGCAGAGAGAAGAATGCACGTACAGCTTCCCAGGATTGCCATGTCAGAAAAGGACCTGAGCTCTTGGAATCAATTTACTGTAATGTTGAAATAACCTTCCTTGTTTTCATCCTCAAACATAAGCAAACTTCTCTCTTTGGAGAATATTTGTCAAGGAGCCTTCTCTCCCTGTACATGACACGCAGGACTCGCTTCCTCACGCACCAGGCAGGGACTGGTGGTGCCTGTGCTCTTTTCCTTTTCCCACACCTGCTCTCTCCTGCTCTTTTGAGTGTTTGCAGAGCCAGCGGGGTGGACCAGGGAGTGACAGCAGCAGCTGCTGGGTGCTGTGGCAGGAATGTGGACCCATCTCTCCTAAGGATCAGCTTCCCACCCTTGGCTCCTGGCTGCCTGGAAGGTAAGTCTGCTTCATATGCTGTCTCTGTAGCTCCGTCATGCTCCTTATTTCTGCAGGGATCCTGCCATGGAATACCAGCTAGAAACACTGCTGAGGTCCTGTCATTCCAGGCATGTGCATGTGACCTTGGGTGCATGTGACCTGGGGTAACACAGGGAATGTTTGCTGCCAGGGCACCGTGGGGCTGAGAGAAGGGTGGGCACCAGAAATAACCTGGAAAGCTCAGCTTCTGCTGGCTGCTGGACCGGCAGCTACAGAGGCACTCCACTGAGTTTGGTGCTTGCTCCTTTCAACTTTTTGACTGAAGTGTGGGACAAAAATGCTTTCCACATTAGAGCTTTAAAAATCACCATGAGACTAATTTCTATATTAGTCTTAGGGTTTTTAACTTAAGTAAATGTGACTTAAGTAGATGGTTTTCAACTGGTATGGTCTCATTGACCACATCGGGCCGGAATTAATATTTCTGTTGAATTCTTATGATGTGTCTGATGCTGAGCAAATAAAAGCTACAGGCTTAGGAGAGCAGCAGTGCAGATGTGTGACATGTGGTGCAGCCACTGGCTGGCAGCCCTGGGCTACTGCTGAAAATGAAAATGTGCAAATTTAAAGAACTGCAGGAGCCACAAGAGTGAAAACACAGCTGAGAGTGACACACAAACTTCATTATTGCATCACAAGCATTCACTTGCTTCCTTCTCCAGGAACAGCACATCAAATGAGCACAGAAAACACATCTGTTTAAGTGCCTTATTTACACAATACTGTTATTTGGGATATTCAGCACTTGGATTTTACAAGAAAGCCCACAGCCCTCTCCATCAGCTTCTTCTCTTGGCCTCTTGTTTTTCTTTTCTCCTGCTCTGAGAAGAGAAACAGGTGTCAAGAGATGAGTAACTGTAATAAAAAGAAGCAATTGGAAATAGCACAGTAATTTAGGCAATGTCTAGAACATGCTTTTTACTTAGCACCTGTTTGCTCTGTTTCCCCTTGTGAAATAAAACAGGAAATATACAGTTACTAACAGTAACACTAACGGTGTCACAGAAAGTTCTTGGAGTAGAATAACCATTATTTCTCTGTAGGAATAAGAAATGCACTCTCATGATTATATGACAAAAAATTCTCAGATGGTTAGAATCATGGTCTTTGCTTAGGTTTGGTGATGAAATGCCATGCTGAGTAAGGTGTGGTAGATAATCAGGTGATGTCAGCTTTTCTGTGCTATCTCCAGGGTCCTTATATAATAGCATTCAGGCTACAGAAGAGCTCTGCATCCAGTGTTTCCTGGGCTCCTTGATTTAGTGTGATGCATGAAGTTTGGTGTCATATTCTCTTGAATTCATAGCCTTTTTTTTCATGTTCCCATCTCCAATGCAGTTTGCTCCAAGGGCCTTGCAGTTGCACAGGCAGAAGCATGATGCATCCAGAATATAAATTTCCATTCATGAGAAGTGGAGATTCTCAAGTGAATGCTTTAGATGCTGTTACAAGAATGTTAATGGGAAGCCCACTTGTGAAACAACATGCTCTCATCACTATCTTATGTTAAAATTGCTGAGTACAGTTCACGCCATAATCAATTCCTTGTGTCTTTCTGTAGCGATTGTTTTTGATATCAGTGGGGTAGCTGACACATGAAAAAAGTATTAGACCCTGCAAGTGAAGACTATAAACATATTTGAATATGAAGTTCTAGGGTAGTTAGGATGAGTGCTAAGTTAAATGCAATATAAACACCAGATAAAAGTCTGCCATGGCTTGCTTGTATACATCTCGAGTCCTGCATTGCTGGTTTCTTGCACCACTGAGAGCCTGCTCTCTTACCAACACGGATATCTGTTCCCCAGCCCAAGGAGGAAGTGACTCCCCTGGGAGCCACTGTTTGGAAGCCTGCTGACATCCAGGGTCTCTGGTCAGCTATCAGAGGGACAGGGCGGGGAGGGCACCGAGCCACGCAGCTGAATGTGCCACATGAGGTGCTCCTGTCCTTGTCTGTCAGTTAAAACCATTGCAAGTGGACAGACTGAGGGGACTGGAGGGGACTGGAACTTCAGGTTCTTCACCTGCACTGCAGGAACGGTCAGTAATGTGAGTAGCAGCTTAGTGCAAGCTGCTGTTTGGAGCCCACTGAAGACCTCCCTTGAGGTCTTTATGTGGTGCAAAGCCATTATGAAGTCTCTTGCCACAGGGATAAGTCTCACAAAAAAGGTTATGGAGATGTGAACTTCTTATTACTGTTTGCCTTCCCACTTAAGAGTGGAGAACTGCAGCTTTCCTCTGGGCATTATGTCACTTACTCTTGCTCCTTTTGTCCCAGCATTTCCAGGAGACACAGTGAGGTGTATTTTCGCTTCATGACATCAAGCTCATATTTATTCCCTCTGTTACAGCAGCCCTTGCAGATTTGACTGGTTCTTTGCATTTGTCTTGCCATTTTACTCTTCTGATGGCTGTCTTACACTTCTAAACACACAGGTAAAATAAAGGCCAAAGAAAACAATTGTCTCTGAAGTAACTTTTTGTTTGCTCTGAAGAATGTTTCAGAACAGGAGAAGTCTAAGGTTTTATCAGCTTTTCATATATGAGGTATATGGACTGTTGGAAGATGGCTGGCTACCTTTCCTTCCAATTCAAGGCTCTAAAGATCAAGTGAATATAGCATCTCTAAAGAAACATGCAGAAAGGAGTGTGCCTAGTTGAAAAATTATAGATGAAAAATGGTTTATTTATTCATTTATCCTATCTGCTTATTTATCTATTTTATGAGTCTTCTTTTACCAATGAGTTGACAGGAAGAGGTGGAAAGGATGTGTGTTTACTGGGGATTTAGTGAGATGCTTAAACAGCCAGCTTTAGAGCATGTCTGATGAACCACAGATTAGCAGAAAGCACATTCTTTAACAGTGGGAAACATTTTCTGTGTTACTCTGTGTCTTCATGCTTCCCCTTCCCTTGCTGGTGCATGCAGAGCCAGCCTTGTGTGTGAATCACACCTCAGACAGCATGAGCCCAGTGGATGTGGCAACAGAAGGGAGTGTTGTAAACCCTGGCATCCTCAGCAGAGCTGCTGAGAGGTTCCTCCAGCCCTGCAGTTTCTGATATTGTCCCCCTGACTTTGTCACTGTGAACCAGAGCCAGGTTATTCTTCAACATTCAGCTAACAAACTCCACCACCCCCCTCGTATGGCTGTCAGCTCCATGTTAGTTGTTCACTGGTCATTTCTTCACAGTGCCTGTTGCAAGTTTAACAATTCCTCCTGCTTTTCAAAAGTGCAAGATGTCATTCTGGTATTAGGATAGGAGGGTACTCTCTGCTTGAGGGAGTGTGGGGATAGTCCAGTCCCAAACAGTCCCAAACAGGGAAAAATCAATAGTTATGGTAAAACACTGTTTTAAAGTGCTTTTCTGTATGCTTTTGTTTTGGCACAGCACATGTGGTGCATAGCACATTATTTTGCTTGCTTAATAATCTCTGTGAACTCAAGTTAATGCTACTGAGACATAGCTATTAATTTTCTTGGGCTTTTTTGGTATAGACTTTTGGGATAGAGGGGAAAAATGAGAGAGTGAATGGGGCTGGTAACCAAAATCCATCCTGAACAATCTACTGTGATACCAAACCAATGTTTATTGTTATCAGAGGCAGCTGTCTACCCTCTCTCCACACTTCTATTTGTGGATTTTTGATGGCTATAAATGGAAACACACGCTGACTAGAAATCACCACAGTGCTCCTGATACTTTTCTGTCCCGACTCCAAAAGTACAGGGATATCTAACATGTAGTCAGGTTGAATCACTTCTGCTCAGGATACTAGGTTTTTATTCCTCTGGGAAATGGAGTTAGGAAAACATGAAAGCAAAGCCTCAGGAAGAGAAGCTTTAGAGAAAAAGCAAATGGTAAGATATGTTGAGAAATGTTGATATTTTAAATTTTTAAAAGTGTAATTAGAAGCAGGAAAATAAATAACCATTGTACTTTATAGGAGTATTTACTGGCTTCCTTTAACCACTGACCTCGAAGATTAAAACTTCATTATTGTATATTAAATTAATTATGAAAGTGCATTTCTGTAGAAATTATGGGAATTTGTGAATTCATTTTATGTGCATGTGAAATGCAAAAACTGAAATCTGGTTAAACTTTGTTGTCATAACCCAAACTAATAGCTAATATCAGTGGTTTTCTTATATTTTTTTCTTAAGGGACTATATCTTTGCACATTATGTTCCATAACTTTAGATCAGTAAATGGCAGAAAAAATTGTTTGTGTCTGGAATGAATCTGAAACGTACTGAAAAAAGCTGTGACCAAAACAAATTATTGAGAGAAAGTGAAAACAGTCAAAATACAGCTTTTTCCTAATTAGCTGAGGCTTGCAATGCGATTTATAATTTGCCTTGCAGTAATGAGTTTTTTTCTTAATACCACAAAAAGGGCAGTTTATTCTTGGCTTTGCAAAGCTGTGAAGAAAAGTGGTCATCACTCTTGCTAAGGAACAAATTAGCAATGAATTTCTTAGCACTTAAATGGTGGTGTTGCATTGATTTGGTTTCATAGTGGGCCCACTTTTACTCCTGTTTAATTGCAGTGTTGGCCTCTACCAGCCTCAGTTAGATTAGTTTTGGCAAGCTTGTGTGTTAGTTAACAGTTTTTATACCACTTCACCAAGGTGCATTGGGCAGGAAATAAGGAAAGCACTGAAACTGAAAGTAATGACTTGGTCTTATATTATTTTTTCTTTTAAAAAAGCAGTATTTATCTAAAGAGTAATATCTGAAAGAGCATTGCTAAAGATTCATCACTTAAGTTCTAATGGGAATATTATTTATTGTTTTAATTGTTAATTTTCTCATTAATTAATGAATTAATTCTTTAGACAGTGACCTAATTTTCAATATGTGGTTGATATATAAAATATAAGGAAAACATCGAAATTAAAAACAAGTATAAAATCCACTTGATCTTCAGGGAAGGTTTCAAAGGAAACCTTTGACATTTTGCTCTAGCTCACGCAAAGAGAAAATACGTAGCAATTTAATCAGCCTGTGTGGTTATCTAATTGCAGACCATATCCTCATGCACAAAGAATTGAGCAGCCAGCCTTAAGTAAGGCTTTTCCAGAATGCAAAGTGCTTCATTTGGAACACTAATGATCTGCTGTTGACCTTCTTTGTGTGCATCATTTACTAATTTTAAGAACAGCAAACTGGAGCAAACAGGGACCCCACTGACGGGAGCCATGCTGACGCCCGTGTCAGGTCACACACTGTTCAGTAGCTTCAAAACTAAATCCTCCCAACACTGTGAGCTGAGAGTGTCCCTTAGCAGTGGCAGGTCACGTTCCTGTGGCTGCTAAGCGAGGGCACAGAGACACCTTGGCTCAGGGGGCTCCATAGCCCTCTGGTGACAGTGGAGGAATGCCTCTGCTCTGTCCTCCCAGCCCCTTCCCCATCCCCTTCCAGCTGAGCCCCAGCCTCCTCTACATCCCACCTCAAACTGTCTCTGCCTGTTTAGTCTTAATGCCTTTCTTTCTGTTTGCTAGATTGATTTCCCCTGCCCCCACATTTTTTTCTAGTTTCATGTCTCCTGGATTTTTATTGATTCTGCCCTTTACTTTTTGTTACATGCAGGTCAGGTCAACTGACTGCATGGGAGCAGTGCCAGTCTGTGGTACAGATACTATTTGTGCATGCTGTTGTGGATGTCTGTTCACATATTTAACTTCAGTACAGCAAATACATACACTATTTCATATTCTGCTTCCACCTCCTGTGCTGCCTTTTTGCACTTCACCTCAGTTGCAAACGCTCTGTTTAACCACACTGGTGTCCTGGTAAATCTGCTTGTATTTCTGAATCATGAATTGCCTTGCATGTGTAAGAGGTTGTTTTCAAGGACATGATAGCTTTCCCAAATTCCCTGTTTCCAAGCTGCCTTCTACAGTGTCCCACTCACCAGCTCCTGGGTAGGCTGAAGTCAGTTTTCCTGAAGCCCAGAGTGTGTGTTTTGATATTTGTTTTCCTCTGTTCCCCATAAGGCTTAGGTCTCACTATTTCACAGTCACTACAGCCAAGCCTGTCACTGAGTATACACATCCATGAACACTTCTTCCTTGTTTATTAATAACAGATCCAGCTGGGTATGAACTGCTTGGCCCATCCTGTGCCCACATCAAGAAGCAGTCCTTGATGCCCTGCAGAAATTGTCTGCATTTCTTGTGCCGTGCCATTTTGTTCTCTGCAGGTGTCACAAAAGCTTGAGTCTCATGTGAAAAAACCCAGACAAAGAGGGTGTGCAGTCCAGATACTTTGTTGAATTGTTTAAAGAAATTGTTGTAAGGAGCACTCTCCACTTCCACACCCTTTCCAAGCTGTCTGTGGCCCAGTCCCACTGCGAAGTCACCCTCAGTGACCTCTCCTCTGATCCTGACCCACAAGTACTCACCCAGCCCTGTAGTTCAGCCTGTACAAACGTTCTCCACATTTTAGCTGCTGCTTCACACAGAGGTTGTCTTCTTTTCCCTCCTTTCTGAAGAGCCTGTGTCCCTTGCAGCACTATAGCCATGTGAGCTACCCCACCACATCTTTTATTTCTGTAATGTTGTAGTTCTATGACCTATATGTATTTGTGTGTGAAAGACAAATTTTGGATTTGTATGCCTTGTTACAAATATTTTCTAGCCATTTTCAAAAGAGCAAAGTCTATGTCATCCTGAAAATACTCTGATTGTAGCATGTCAGTCAAATAGAGACCAGTTCATGCTCAGAGTCTAACACAGAAGACAACATCACAGACAGTTTTGTGAAGTGGTACCTTTCCATTCACTGCTTACTGTGCATGAGATAAATAATACAAAATTCTCTACCACTTCAGACTATTTCACGTAATAAGAATTCTTATCCTTGCTTCCTGGAGGAAGACCTGGCAGCCAGAATCCTGAAGAGAGTCTTTGTGTGGAGCTGACTGTGAGAATAGAAGATAATGGAGGGCCCATTTTGTGAAAGAAAAATAGAATGACTCACTATAAAATAGATTGGACTAAGTAGATGGACATACTTGCCCTTTTCAGAGCTTTGATAGCTCAGAAGGACCCAGTAATTCCAAAGTTTATCTGCTGAAACAATGGCTCACCTCAAAATAGTCTGTTTTGATTCTAAAGTCCTCATCCCTCAATGTATATTGCGTTATTTGAATTTATTTTAATTATATTTCACACTTGTCTCTTTCCTTTTTGATCTGTTCTCTCCCCATGAAAAACAGCACATAAACTATTACATTTAAAATAATGTTTACATTGTTATGTTTAACAGAGAACATTTAATCTTTTAGTTTAGTTTGCATTATAAGGGTTTACTTTCTTCTTACTTGGAGTAGCAATAAATAACAGTTCTATATGGAAAATACATCAACCAAATGGATCTGTGAATCAGAAAGGATGCCATGCACTCCTTAAAAGGTTAGGTTTTGAATGACAGAGTTGCAGGGTTTTATTCAGAGAATTAGCATTCGCTTTTCACAAACAGTATGTGTGGATACAGCTTATACAGAGCAGGGCAATTTGGATCAAGGCCACCTAAGTGAAGCAATGGTTAATCTTCATACTCTGGTAGCAACCTCAGAAGTCCTGTCAAGACCTTCTCCATGGCAAGTGTGGGAAGTGAAGATTCCTTGAAGAAGGCAGCCTGTTTCCTGAGGGAAACCTAAGGGAGCCCAGACAGAATGAGGGTGATGACTAATGAGGTGATGGCAGTTCCTGTTTGCAGGTTTTGTTGTTGATTTAACACGTGTAAACCAGGTGAGAAGCGAGTATGAGATGGGAAGGGTTGTTTGAAAAGCAGAAGATAAGGGAGCTGGGTGGAGGCTGGTGGGAGTGGGCAGGGCAGGAAGGGCTGGGAATGGCCGTGCCTCCATGGAAACCCTTCTCCAGGTCACCCTCGCTCTTGTGCCGGGAGGGCTGGTGCCAGAGATGGCAGTGCTCCTCCTGGGCTGCTGCTGTGCTCCTGCTGGGCTGCTGGTGTCAGGGATGGCAGTGCTCCTCCTGGGCTTCGTCTGTCGCTCCTTTGCCAGGAGCAGGGCCCATGGCAGTGCTCTGACATGTCCCTGGGTGTGCACTGGGCAGGTGCTGCTGTGGCCAGAGGTGTGCTACGGCCTCCGTGGGTCACCACAAGGAGGAAGAGGAGCTGAGCGAAGAGTGAGTGTTAGTGCAGATATAGGGGATCAAACACCTGGAAAACGGGATGTTCTTTGGCACAGCAGAAACCTCCATGGCTGAGGAACAAAGGATAGTTTGATAATTTGATGCTGAAGTTTGAGTATCATGCTCATTTCATGACAAAAAAATAAATAATTACAAAAGTCAGAGAAGGTTTTATATGAGTATATATTAAAATATTCCTGCTTATCTAAAAGGAAGGTTTTAGTTCTTGCTCTGTGTGTGACCTCCTCTGGGAGACTTTGTCATGTAGCTGAATTCAGGTGGGTGAGTTGACACACTTAAGGCATTTTGTGCTACTTTGTCCCAAATTACAGCAGCTTTGGCAAAAAGGATTGCTTCAGAAGAGCAACTTTCAAATAACCCAGAGCTTTGTAGATCAGGACTGAGGCTTTGTAGTTGCTACAGCAATAAGACCCTGACATGGTGGCAATAGCATCTTGCTGTACAGGTGTAGGAAAGTGACCAAGGCAGAGCTCCAGCTGATAAGCCTTTCCTCTTGGATACCTAAAGTTGCATTCCTATTTGTGTGGATTACTTCAGCAAGCAATCACCCAGAAGGAGGAGGAGGGAATAAATTGGAGCCTGCATATAGCAGGATATTTTTAGCACTGTTGATGTGACACTAAACAGGACAAAAGAAAGTGGGAAGCACTGAATCTTGGTCTGCCCTTTTTTTCTAAT